ATATATTCAAAGCTGTTTCCAAAATTAAAAAGAAACAAAACAAATCCAAATAGCTATTATAGGCTAATACTAAAATAGATATTTAGATCACTACTTTAATTTAATTTAATTTTATTTTTTAATATTTATTTTTCAGTTTTCGGTGGACACATCTTTACTCTGCTGAGAATCAAACCCAGCGCCCCGCGCATGCCAGGAGAGCGCATCACCGCTTGAGGCACATCCCCAGCCCCACTACCTTAATTTTAAGTAGTTTCCAAATAAAATCTACTTTGGGGTATGGGGATGTAGCTTAATGACAGAGTAAGCACTAGCCCAACCTGCAGATCCCTAGCACTTGGAAAAAAAAAAAAAAAACTTATTTTGGAAACTAAACATACCATACTGCTAAAACAAAACAAAACAAAAAAAAATTATTACCTGAATACCTTATTTCCATCATTATAAAAGCACTTCTGACAATGAATATTACTATCAAATTTTATTAAGCCAATTATAAAAAGTTTAACATGCTACTTCATCCTTTTTAAGTGTAAAATTTTTTACCATGTGCTTAGTTTATTAATTTTTTTTCTCAGAGTAAAGGTACAAAACTCACAAAGGGAGAATATTTCTATTCTAGTACTAGATCATCTTTTTTTTTCCCATTAGACTACCTTAAGGAATACAAAACAGAGTTACATTTTAAAATCTAATATTTTATTTTATCATGTCTCACAAACTATGTCCATGTTACCAATTTGAGATGTGGGTGACTAAATCATAATGTTGAAGGCTTTTGTAATTATAATTGACCAAAGGGTTTGCTTTAAATACACACTAAATAGGCAGTCTTATTATACTGTGACTTAATTGCATTAAAAGAAAACAACTTCTCTTTTAGTTATACTTTTCCACTGACATCTAATCATATAATAAGCCTTGGTTCACTCTCATGCCCCTCAAATACTTCATTTTAATGCATAGAAAGTTTTCTTTTTAACTATTATACGATTAAGTATGTTCTTATAGAATGATCAGAAGCATCTGGGAAAGGTAGAAGAGAAAAAAATCCTCACTGGGAAAGTTAGCTTAATGCTTGCCCTTCAGAGTGGCCCATTATCAACATTTCATAGTGGGTTTCTTTATTTTCAGGTCCCTGAGGTATGTGCAATAAATTACGACTTGAACTAAACAAGTCACACTTGGCTCCAAAATGAAATTTTCCTACCTCTATTTTCTAGTCCCCAAGGTGGGAAGAGGAAATCCTGGTCACAGCCAAAGAAGTCGTATTTTTGACTCTAACATACATTTTCCTGCTTTTCTAAAAGCCAAACTCTGCTATTGAGACTCTAAAGTCTTAAGTTAGTATTTTAAACTGTAGTTTAATTTTTACTTCCATAATCTTTCTTAAATTTAAGAAAAAAAGCGAATATCATCAAATTAATGTCCCTGTCTTCTTTTTCCCACTCAAATCATTTTTCACTGATCTGAACCTTTAAAATGTGAAATAAAATGAAGTGGGAAAAATAATACTAAAATAGGTTGTTTCAATTCTATAAGATGGAATATTTAAATGTTCACTTCTAAATAAATTCTATTATTTTTGTATGTTAAACTGAGTATTAATGTAAAAGAAAATGTAAAAGTTCTAGCTTAAAGTCCAGTAATTTGAAGCATAGTTTTGGAAAAAGCATTTATGGAAATAATTTAGTCTGTCAACTCCTTTTACAGACTACAAGATGGCAGATACATCCTAAGGTGACACTTTATTTGCTCTTCCCTTAAGTGAGGGTAGAATTTTGACTTCCTTCTGGCCAACAGAATATGGCAAGAGTATGGGACAGTCATTCCCTTAAATTAGGTTGTGTTATATGGCAAAGGAATGGGAAGTAACTCTCATGATTAGAAGTTATTTAAGATTCTGTCTTAACTGACTGGTGTTAGAAAGTATCCTGTTGGTCTTGAAGAAGTAAACTACTATAAACTTCTCTTCTATCCCATAGGTGCATACAAATAAATATTATCAGTAACATGTTCTGCCTAGCCACTTCATAAATGTGTGATCTGTAACAAATGATTGTTGTTTTAAGTCACTGAATTTTAGAACTGTTACACAGGAAGGATTGGTCTAGACACATGGTAATAAGAAATACACTTCCCTTGCATTTCTCTCTTCCTGTCCCTGGATGCTACAGCTTAGACTATTCTTGGGTCCACCATATTTGCACCTTTTGGGAAGCACTAGGGGAAAACCTTTAGAACCACCCTCTTCTTCTCTATCCAGAATCCAGTGACACTTCTGCTTTGTGATTTTATGCAATTGAGCCACTGGGATTTGGATAAGCAGAACAATGACAAGTAGGATCATGACAGAACTGTCAGAGCAGGTCACCAGTGTTAGTTTTTTTTTTTTTTTTGGCTGCCATAAGGTGGGCAATTTATTCTACCATGGGAAAATTGGGCAATTTCCCTTATCATAAGGTAAAAGTAGAGAAAATGGAAGGTAAAATGCCATATTCATAAATACACCTTTTAATTTTAAGAATTTTTATAAAAAAAAAGAATAACAATAAATATTCTTATCATGTTTTCTTAACGCTTTTATTTTTAATTACAAATTATGGAAAAAGTTAAAGTCCCCTTTGGTAACTATTTACAGTATCATCCCCATCTCGTCTCCTCAGATGTAATCAGTACTGTAAGCTTGATGTGAATCTTTCCCAGCTTCACCATTTTGTAAGTGTAATATTAGTCAGTAATATTTGACAGTCTACTATCAGTCATAAAGCTTATCCTCTTTTCCAGCTCTCAAGAACTCACATAGGTTTGAGAAGTAGAAGGATTTGCAAAAACTAATTCCAGAGGAAAAAATGTATATTTAAGTTATTGGAGCACAATTCACAATAGCTAAACTGTGGAACCAACCTAGATGCTCTTCAGTAGAGGAATGGATTAAAGAAAAATGTGGCATGTATACACAATGGAATATTAACAGCAATAAAAGAATAAAATCACGGCATTTGCAGTTAAATGAATGGTGTTGGAGAAGATAATGTTAAGTGAAGTTAGCCAATCCCAAAAAAACAAATGCTGAATGTTTTCTCTGATATAAGGAGGCTGATTCATAGTGGGGTAGGGAAGGGGAACATGGGAGGAACAGACGAATTCTAGATAGGGCAGAGGGATGGGAGGGGAAGGTAGAGGGCATGGGGTTAGCAAGGATGGTGGAATGTGATGGACATCACATTGGTGTGAACATACTTTATATACAACCAGAGATATGAAAAATTGTGCCATATATGTGTAGTAAGAACTGTAATGCATCATTTACTTTTTTTAAATCAATTAAAAAATTTTAAAAAGCAAAAAAAAAAAGATATTGGAATAACTTGTGGTATAAAGAGGAAAAAGGATTCTCCCACTTTAACAAAGCAGCAATAATGCAATAATGCAGTCACAGAGTAAAATGATAAGACATCAGAAAACAACAGTATCAGTGTCAATAGCAGTACTATCAGTAGCACTAGTGTGGGAACCCAGCACTAATGAATGTTGTTGAAGCAACAGTTTTCTAGAGTAGATGAGAACTGTTTCACCAGTATCAATGAAGGCAGAATAAGCCATTTTAGAATAGAAGTCATAGCCCAGCATGTGGCCATCAGTGCCCTCAGTGGTAGCACAAGTAGTTGGAGAAAGGTAGTAGAAGCTACCAAAGCCAGTAGAGGCTGAAAGGATTACATTATGAATTCTCAGGTGGGACTTTCAAAAGTTCTAAAGAGGCCCAGAGGGTACCAGAGGAGTCATGGCAAATAGTCCCAGAACCAGATCTGAACATGAATGAGCATTGTTTTAGTCAGCTTTTTCACTGCTGTGACTAAAAAGACCCGACAAGAACAATTTTGGGGGAGGAAAAGTTTATTTGAATGGTCACAGCTTTAGAGATCTCAGTCCATAGACAGCTGGCTCCATTCTTCAGGGCTTGAGATGAGGCAGAACATCATGGCAGAAGGGTGGGGCAGAGGAAAGTGGCTGGAACTCCCATTTGCCAGATACAAAATACATATCCCAAAGGCACTCCCCCAGGGACCCACATCCTCTAGCCAAAACCCCACCACCTTCAGTTACCACTCAGTTAATCTCTTTCAGGAGATTAATTAATTGATTGAGTTAACGTTCTCATAACTCAATCATTTTGCCTCTAAACCTTGCATTGTCTCACACATGAGCTTTTGGGGGGACACCTAATATTTAAACCAAAACAGGCACTATCTAACCAGTTGAGAGCCAGGATGGAAGAGGAAAAGCTGCAGGGGGAAAACTTTATATGGTTCTTCCCTGTAGAGCTGGCAGGTTTCTGATACTACTGCCTTTAAATATCAGACTGCAGGGTACTTTGACCTTTGAATTCTGAGACTTGTACCAGAAGTCTTTGGCCTTAGACTGGATCATCAATATTCCTAATTCTAAGGCTTCCAGCTTTGACCGAGTCTTGAAAACAGCCTTTCAGTAGCCACTGTGGAACTTTCCAGCCTCTGTTAGCCATTATTTTCACCTCTCTGCTTGAGTATAATTTCCTGGCCACAGCATACAACACTTACCTACAATCAGAGTACAGTGGTACTACTGGGGTGAAGTGGAAGAGATCAGAATTTGGTGGCAGCTAAAATTGTGGAATAAGTAGGGCAGTGCATTATAGAGAGGACCCTAGAATTCCTTGGGGGATTTATGAGTCTAGAGCGAAGAGCTTATAAAACCAAAATTATGGGGCTCTACATCAAGCATTTCTGATTCAGCAGTTCTGAAACAGAGCCTAAAAAACTGTATTTCTACTAAGTTCCCTGGTAATACTGGTGCTCCTGACCTAGGACCACAATTTGAAAATCACATTTGTCAAGCAAAAGATAGTATGAGTTAAAAATAAAATAAACATTTTTCTACTAAACCTTTTTCAGATTCTTCATAAAGATAAAATGAAGATACAAGAAAAATGTATACTTCTTAAAGCTTTGATGGCCTACCTGTAGATCTTTGACATTTGGAAAAGGAATTCCTATTGTTATGACAGCACGGGCATTGTCATCTGAGAAATCCAGACCCTCACTCACTTTACCACGACAAACTGCTATTAGCAGGGCTCCATCTTAATCAACAGAAAATAAACATTTTTAAATAGCATATTCAAAATTCTCAGAAATAGCTTATTCTTGACATTTTGTAAAGACTAATTATTCTTCATATTTTAGGAGATATACTGTTAAAGTTCACTGTCTTAAATAAATAAGGAAAATAAGCTGGGTGGTGGTGCATGCCTGTAATACCACCTACTCAGGAGGCTGAGATGGGAGGACCTCAAATTTGTAGTCAGCCTCAGAAACTTAGTGAGGGTTTGTTTCAAAATGAAAAAGGGCTAGAAGTATAGTTCAGTGCTAGAATGCTCCTGGGTTAAGTCCCCAGTACCACAAACAAATAAATATAAAGTCTGCGAATGTAGCTCAGTGATAGCTCAGTGATTGAACCTTGGTTCAATCCCCAACACTGCAAATAAATACATCCATACAAACAAAACAAAATTAGATGCAATATGGTAGTAAACTAATTTACAGCTGTGTCTCCCAGATAAATTATGCAATAAAACTATACCAGAGTAGCAATTGTGTATGAACTGAGCAAGTATGAACTAAAAATTGAAGTTTCAATCATTACCTTTTACCACCACAAAGTAAAAGTCTCAGAACAATTTAAATAACTTATTTGTACTAATTATGAGACTGAATAAAAGTGCTCAAAACACTATATGTACTGTTAACATTAAAAGATATTGACAATTATAGTATTTTCATTGCTGCATTGTTCATAAATTATTGCTATTAGTCCTTCACATAAAACTGTAGGGAAATTCTCAAGCCTGGAAACTGAGTCCTCAGTTATTTTTTATTTATTTATTTTTTTAGTTGAAGGTGAATACAACACCTTTATTATATTTATTTATATGTGGTGTTGAGGATGGAACCCAGGGCCTCACACATACTAAGTGAGTGCTCTACCACTGAGCCACAACCCCAGCCCCCTCAGTTATGTTTTGAAAACTCAAAATGAATCTTATTTAATAGAATATAAGCAAAAAGTACATTATTTGCATAAAAATATATGTTCCATCTGGCTAGTAAGGAAATATTTATACATATCCTGACTGCCTTCTTGCACAAAATATTTCAGTTAGTGTAAGGAAAACCATGGGATACTGCCTGATTGCACGTTGTTTCTTAAAGTGGAATTGGCACACACAAGTGAAAATATCGTAGGAGGATAATTCCAAACAAAAGAATTTCTTTTTTTCTTTTCCTAAGATTATAAAATATAAATTTTCTCCTAACTGCAATTCATTTAAAAATATAAGAAATGAAATTCTAATACCAACTTCTTACTTAATAATAAAAATATTTTGTCATTGACCATGAAAAAACTTCTAGTTACCTTTCTCTCCTTTATACTTGATTGAGTCATAGTACACCTGCAACAATTCATCAAAATCAGTTTTTTCTCCTCCTTGTGGTTCTACAATGACTGTCTTCACCAACTCCAGATTATGCCACAAACCAGTATGGAGCCAACGTTCTCTTAATTTTTCTAATAGCTAAAACAGGGAAAGATAAAAAGATTAAATTTTTGTGTATTCAGCTGAACAAATTTACCATTTTTTATTCGTTTAAAGCTAATATGACTATAATGTAACCATGGCAAATGTATTAACCTTTCAGTGACTTTTCTCATCTATAAATAAGGTAAGCAATATCTCATTAAAGCTGTGATTGGTGAAATTCCTAATAAATATTATCAGCTGCTTCTGTTAACAATACTTTTGCCATTAACACTATTGCTGCTGCTGCTGCTGCTACTACTATTATTGCATTGTGGTGATTTCACAAGCCGAAAAAAAAATTACTTCTGTTAGAATTGTTTTTTTTCCCCACTTGTGGTGCTGGGGATTGAATTCAGGGTTTTGCACATGCTAAGTATGTGCTCTTCCACTAGCTACCCCCTCAAACTCTAAAGTAAATATATTTTAAATTATTTAAGTCTTAAGGAAAAGTTCCTTAATATTCTTAACCCATCTTAAATGAAGATTCTTAAAATGATTTTACGAAGTACATAGGCAATTAAGCTCACTGTTTGAAAATGGGATCATCATTAATAACCCAAATCATTATGTGGCTCAGCGGTAGAGCGCTCGCCTATTACATGCAAGGCCCTGGGTTCGATCCTCAGCACCACATAAAAATAAATAAAATAAAGGTATTGTGCCCAACTACAACTAAAAAAATAAATATTTTAAAAAGGTGTTTAAAAAACCCAAATTGAATAGATATATAAATTGAACATATTTTAATAATAGAATGTTAGAGTAAAAATAAATAATACAAAGTTGTTGAAAAAAAAAGGAAGCCCAACACTAAACCTCATTCTTAAAAAAATACATGGATTGCAGAGAATCATCTTTAGATATGAATGATAAAAAACTTCACAATTCAAAACATATGAATGCAGCAAAGGCAACATTTAGAAATACTCTTACAGCTTAGAATACACTTATTTAAAATTTTTGAAAATAAAAGAACTACATTCTTTTCAAGGAGCTAGAAAGTGAAATAAAACAAATACAAAGTAGAAATAACAAAGACAAAAGATAGATACATGCAAAAGACAAAAGCCAATGGTACAGAGTATAATTTAAGCTCAATTATTTTACCCATTGTTGTATGGCATGTGTTCTATACCATGTGGATCAGTTTTTACAATGTAGGAAAAAAAAAAAAAAAAAAAAAAAAAAAAACAATGCAAATTCCCTAAAGAATGAAAATAAACCCATTTTTGTAAGACTGTAATGTAGGGTTATCATCAATCTAAAAGTCTTCCATTTTGAGTACCTCATGAATTGGCTATTAGAATCTGCTTTTGGATTGTGTCCTGTTTCTGAATCAAAGTCTCTCAGTGCTTACAAAGTATAGGCAAACAAAACAAAAAACCAACTCCTGACAGTATTTAGAGCAACTGTCACACTGGATTTTCAAGGAAGACTGAAAGAATCAAAACATTCATTGAAATTTATTAAATTATTTAAATTTCAACTAAAATTAGAAAAGGATAGTTGAGAAAAGCATAAAGTATCTTGAGAATATATAAAATCAGATGAACTACCATGAATTTGCATAACTATTAATACACAATGGAATTTTATCCATGATATACTGTTTTTCCTATATCTGAAAACACTGACAACATTTCATCTTTGATTCATTGATCCTGGAATAACAACTTTGAACACTGTAGTTCACAAATATTCAAGATCTGGAGAAAACCCTCTCATGCTACTTGGGTAAGATAATTAGGTTAATAACTCCAGGATATATACCACAACTAGATTAGAGAATTCTATTTTTAAAAGAAAGTTTGAGAAATAACAAAGAATTAGTTCAATGTGCAAATTTTCCACTAAAGAAATCCGGCGTAGATATTTTTCCCATTATATAGAAAATAATTCAGAATGTTAGGGAACTAAACATGATTTAAAAAATGTAAAAGCAGGCATGATAAATCCAATTATTTCATATTTGTTATAAGAGTTGATTTCTTTTTATTTCTAAAAGAACTTCAGAAATTTATGCACAAGCAAATGGTCAGATTCATAAATAAATCTTGAACACAAAAATAACAAAGCACAATATGCAATATTGATTCCATTTTTAAATTTTTAAAGAAATATAAAATGTTTACATATTATTGGGTCTTTAAGAAACGTGTCTGCAAGATAATACTGTTGAGTTCATTGATATATCTGAGTTACTTCTAGCTCTAAAGTTTGTTGATTCTAGCTAATTTTTAAACAAAATTGTCAGTAAACTATATGTCAGGGATTAGGCAAGAACAAAAAGAAGAAAGCAGAAACACAGACTATATTTTTCTAATATTGGCCTAGAGGTTTGCATTACAACTTTAAAACTTTATTGTTAAATATAACTGGATTAAATATCCCAATCAGAAAACATAAAATTGCTGAACAGACCAAAACCTGATCCATAGATAAGTGACTCACTGTAGATTCAAGGTCACAAATAGGCTGAAAGTAAAAGGCTGGGAAAAAAGATATTCCTTATAAATAATAATTAAAATAAGGCAGGGGCAGCAATACTGATGTCATCAATTAAATAGATTTTAAGTCAAAAACTGTCATGAGAGACAAAAAAATTACACGAGGATAAACAAGTTAATTCATCAGGAACATTTAACAATTATATATGTACCCAACATCAAAGAATCCAAATATTTCAAGCAAATATTGACAGAACTGAAAGGAGAAACAGGAAGCTACATAATAAGGGGAGAATTCAATGTCGGCCTCTGATAAGAGATAAGACATCCAGGCAGAAGATCAATAAGGAAACAGAAAATCTAAACAAATCCAGAGACCAGAAGGACCTACCTAACAGACCTATGCAGAACATTTCTCCCAGCTGCAGTAGAATATACATTCTTCTCAACTGCATACAGAATGTTCTCTAGTATAGATCACATTATGTCACAAAACAAAATTTTAAGAAGACTAAAATCAGTATCATGAATCTTTTTCAACCACAATGGAATAAAAGTAGGATTTAAAAGAAGGAAGAAAACTGGACAATGCACAAATATGTGGAAATTAAGCAGAACAGTTTTGAATAGTATGTGCATGGCTTGCAAAAAAAAAAAAAAGCACTTTGCATGATATTATCCAGTTCCATCTATTTACCAGCAAATGCCATAATTTCATTCTTCTTTATGGCTGAGTGAAACTCCATTGTGTACTTATACCACATTTTCTTTATCCATTCATCTGTTGTTGGGCACCTGAGCTGGTTCCATAACTTGGCTATTGTGAAATTGCACTGCTATAAACACCGATGTGCCTGTATCATTATAGCATGCTGATTTTAGTTCTTTTGGAATTTAAAAAACCAAGAAGTGGGATAGTGTGGTCATACCATTCCTAATCTTTTGAGGAATCTCCACGCTGCTTTCCAAAGTAGTTGCACTAATTTACAGTCCCACCAAGAAGTATGAGTGGACCTTTTTCCCCACACTCTTACTAGCATGTATTATTATTTGTATTCTTGATGATTGCCATTCTGACTGCAGTGAAATGTGAAATAAACCAGACTCAGAAAGTCAAGGGTTGCATACTTTCTCTCATATGCAAAAACTAGAGTACAATAAGAAAAAAAAGTGGGGAAGGATCCCATGAAAACATAAGGGTGATCAGTGGAGTACAGGAAGGGAAGAGAAAGAGAGGGAACAACAGGAAAGGGGAAGAACAGCAGAATGATATTGACCAAACTATGCTATGTATATGTATGAACATACCACAGTAAATTTCACCTTTATGTATATTGTGAAGCACCAATTTAAAAAACTCTATAAATAAATAGAAGGAAGACCAGTAGAGTAGAGGAAGGAGAACAGAGGGAGGGAGGAGGAGAGTGAAAGAGAAAGTACTGGGGACTAAAGTGGAGAAAGTTACATTCCATGCACGTGTTGTTATATCAAAATGAATCCCAAGATTATGTTTAACTATAATGTACTAATAAAAGCATTAAAAATAAATTTTAAAAAAGAAAATAATGAAATTATCTTCAGACCAACAAAAAAGGAAACGCAAGATACCAAGTTTAAGTATGCAACAAAAGCAATACTAAGATGAAAGTATATAGAAGTATAAATGCATACGTTAAAAAAGAAAGAAGATCTCAAGTAAATAAATCAAAGGTATACCTCAAGGAATTATTAAAAAGTTAGCAGAAGAAAGGAAATAAGAAGATGAGAACAGAAAATAGAAAAATATAAATGAATAAATCAATGTTATTTTTGAAAATACCAATAAAATTGATTAACTAGACTAAGAAAAAAGAGCTTAAAATTAGGAAAAAGGGAAATATTACAAATGATGCCACAGAAATAAAAAAATTTTTAAGAAATTAAAAAACAATGTCCTAACAAACTGGATAACCTAGAAATTGATGAATTCCTAAAAACGCATGATCAGCTTTTGGTAAAAAGCTGATCTTGAAGAAAGTCTGAGAGATCTTTACTTAGTAAGATTAAATTAGCAACAAAGTGTCCTACCAAAGAAAAACTTCAGTGATAAAGTCAACCAAACACTTAAAGAAAACCTAAAACAAATATAGATTTCATGTAATCTATTAAAATCCCAATGGTTTTTTTGCATAAGTCGAGAGGCAAAAATACATTTAACATTACTATCAACAATGCATAAGGATTCTTCTGATTTTTCAACTTGCCAATACTTGTTATTTCTTGTGTTTTGATAATGGCCTTTCTAAGAAGTATGTGGTGATATCTCATTGGTTTTAATTTGTATCTCCTAATGATTAATGATGTTGAGTGTCTTTACATATACTTGTAGACCATTTCTGTGTCATCTTTGGAGAAATGTTTATTCAAATCCTTTGCCCATTTTTTAATTGGGTTATTGATTTGGTACTGAGTTATAGGAATTCCTTATATGTTTTGGTTGCCATTGTAGAAAACAAAAGGAATAAGAAAGGAATCAAAATATTATACTACCAAAAAAATCAAATTTCT